TTAGTGGTTGGGGTTAGAGTTAGGGGTTTGCGTTAGGGTGGGGACTAGGGGTAGGGGTGGCGGGGGTCGGGTTCCGGAGTCAGGGGGCGGCGTGGCGAAAGGGGGGGAGGGGGGGGGCCCCTCTTTTTGAAAAGGGGGGAGGGGGGGGTTTCCCGACGACGGACCAGGAAAGGGGGGGGGGGGGGGGGTCCCGACGACGGATCGGGGAAGAGGGGGGGGGGGTTCCCGACGACGGATGAAACTGGGGGGGGGGGAAGGGTTCCCCCCCCCCTCTCTTGGGGAGATCCAGCGGCGCGCCCTCGTTGATTATGTTGATGATGCTGGTGGTGCTGCTGATTCTGATGTGGATGGTTGTAGTGGTGGTGGTGGTGGTGGTGGTGGTGGTAGGGGTGATGATGCTATTGGTGATGCTGACTGCGATGCTGATGCCGATGGTGATGATGGTCATGCTGATGGTGTTGATGATGCTGGTGATTTGATGGTGATGCTGATGCTGATGCTGAAGATGCTGGTGCTGCTGCGGCTGATGTTGGCGATGATGATGACGCTGCTGCTGATGATGGTGACGATGCTTTGGATGATGATCACCGCGGGGACGCCGCCGACAATGAGAACGCTGCGGATGCTGCTGCTGTTGATGCTGTTGACGGTGCTGATGCTGATGTTGTTGTTGTTGTTGCTTTTAATGCTGATGATGCTGATGATGGTGATGATGATGATGATGATGCTGATGGTGACGACGATTACGGCGGCTACGACAACGATCGTGATGATGACGGTGATGATGATGATGATGATGATGACGATGCTGATGGTAATTATGGTCGCTGTGTTGTTGGTCGTGGTGATGATGGCGTTGGTGGTGGCGTCGAGGACGACGATGCTGATGCTGATGCTAATTGTGACGGCGATGGTGGTGATCTTGCTGATTAGGAGGGGGAAAGCGATGATGGTGATGATGCCAGTGCTGATGGTTGGGACGCTGATTGGGATGATGAAAGCGATGAGCATGACACGCATTCTGATAAGATCGCATGTGGATCAGACAGTGCAGGGATTGGTGATGTGAGGAGGCTGCTGACAATGCTGTTGGTATGCTTACGACACTGGTCATATAGTAGGTGGGGAAGGCGAGGTGGTGCCAGAATAGAAGGAGGAGGCCACGCCAGGAAGAGGAGGAGGAGGCCGTGAGGGAGGAGGAAGAATTGGTGGGTAGGGTATTAGGAACCCGAGACGGAATCATGACCCTGATGTTGATGATGCTGGCGACATTGACAATGATGATATTGATGGTGATGGTGGCGGTGATGTTGATGGTGCTGATGACGCTGATGATGATGATGATGCTAACGATGATACTGATAACTGATGATGGGGATGGTGAGGATGATGAGGCTGATTATGATGCTGATGCTGTTGATGATTACGATTATGCTTTTGCTGCTACTGCGTCTGCTTGCGGCTGATGATGATGCTGATGAAGACGCTGATGATAATGATTCTGATGCTGATGATTCTGATAATGATGCTGATGATGAGTGAGTGATGATGATTGTGCATGACGGCCACGGTGGTGATGATGACGATGATTTTGACAATGCCGATGGTGGGGATGGTGATGGTGGTGTTGATGGCGATGATGCTGGTGATGATGCTGATGATGATGACGATGATGATGACGATGATGATGATGATGATGATGATGATGATGATGATGTTGATGACGATGGCGATGATGATGCTGATGATGATTGCGATTGTGGTGATGATGATGCTGCTGATCATGATGTCACTAATGGCGCTGATGATGATGCTAGTGATGATGATGATGCTGATGCTGATGATGCTGCTGATGATGATGATGATGATGCTGATTATGATGATGATGATGATGATGATGCTGATGATGATGATGATTCTGATAATGATGCTGATGATGAGTGAGTGATGATGATGATGATGATGATGATGCTGGTGCTGATGCTGATGCTGATGCTGATGCTGATGCTGATGCTGATGATGCTGCTGCTGCTGCTAATGATGATGATGATGATGATGATGATGATGATGATGATGATGATGATGATGATGATGATGGGAAGGTTGATGATGACGCGGTTGATAACGATATTGGGAGCTGATGATGCTGATTATGCTGCTGCTGATCATGATGATGACGATGCTGCGTTCGATGGTGCTGATGGTGATGATGAGGATTATGACGAGAAGCATGAGGAGGGTGAGGAGGAGGAAGGAGGGCTGCAAAGAGGATGACAAAGCGCAGAGGGAGGATGGAAGGAGAAGGCGGAGGAGGAAGTGGAGGAGGAGATGAAGGTCGGAAACTGGAACATATACATTACCAGTGGCGGGCTGTCCTTCGATCCCACGATTTTTTGAGGGTTGGGGACGACGTCGAGGTGGTGTGGTGTATATTTGTTTCCCGTTTACATAGGGAACCAGCGAAAGATGTATACACCACGGTTCCGTATACACCATGATC